CAACTCTTGAGAGAAAGATGCCATATGACAGGGTTCAAGCAGAGGGTTTTTTTTTAATTAGGGAAAGGAATCATAAAAAGAGAAAATGGGAAAGGGGAGAGAGGAGACTGGCTTCTAGAGACAGGAGCAGCAGGAGAGAGGAAAGAGGGGCAGAGAAAAAGAGGGAGAGAGAGGGAGAGGGGAGAGGGAGAGGGGAGAGGGAGAGGGGAGAGGGAGAGAGGGAGAGGGAGAGAAGGATGGGAAGTGGACAGGGCTCTTTTGAAAGGGAACATAGTGAATGTGCACAGGTGGTGCTCTGAGTGGCTGCAGCTGAGGGCCTATCCTGTCAGAACCCTAAGGACAGTCCAGTACAGATGCCTGAATACTAACATATATAATATTTTATAAAACTCTAGTAAGGAGAAATGGTATATGGGGGCAAAGAGTATGAGACTCAAATATGAACTACTTGCATGTAATAGCAAACTTACTGAAATGATTTTATAAATTAATCTCATTTCCGGTTTTGTTTAATTCTATGAAGTGCATTGAAAATGGGTTCTATGGAAATGATATTGAAAGTCATTTGTCTTCTTCTAAATCACTGAGTGTTTAATAAAGACAGATTGTTTACTATGATAGAATTTACAAAAACACAATTTCCAAATCTAAGCAAAATGGAAACTAAAATAACATTGAGTCCCTTCCTCTAATGCAAAAATGGTACAGAAAATACAGTATCCACCCAGAGAGAGTGGCTAGAGCAGCCTGTATTCAGGGAGCACGAGTCCTTTCACTCACCAGTTCTAGCCTCCCTCCTATCCAGGCCGGGAATCAATCATGTTAAGGGTTTGCCACACATTGAAATAGAACTTCAAAGGGGAAATGAGATAGGATAGCAACCTTCAACTAAAGGGACAGAGCAGATAGAGTTCCTCCTGCTGGCTGAGTCTGTTCTCAGCCAGAGAGCGATGGGCAGGAGGGTTACTTAGTGGTGGACAGGAGTCTCTCCCCTTTTCATCACCTCTTCCTCTGCTTAGGCCAAGTGTAGACGGGAGGCTGTGGGTGAGCTGGACACAGCGCCAAAGACGTGACTGCTGGGGAATCTAAACTTTCTCAGACCCTCCACCAGGCATGATAAGACATAAAAATACTGTACTTGCCTTTTACCGTGCCATCCTTCATTTTCTTATACTTCTTCCTCCAACTACTGGAACTTTTGGGGCCTTTATAAATATTAATGAGTCAAGCATGGACGTTATTTTACATTGAGACACGGTGACCTTACAGCGTGCCTACTAGGCTCATTAATTCCAAAGTTCTTGTCGACGCTCTCATTACACAGTAGTTGTAGATCATCTCACACTTCTACTTTGGGAAGTTTATAAAGCAGAATGAAACACCGTCCCTGCCAGGTCGCTGGAGCCTGGGCTGGCTCAGCAGTCTGGACGGGCTGTTCAAGACTGTCTCAAAGGCCAGTTCCAGTGAATGAGTCTTCCCACAAGGAACCTGATATTCGGGTCAGATGCGGCTTAGGCAGGTTCAGCAATCAGAACCTTGTGGCTGGGGAAATGCTCCTGTAGGTTGTGGTCACAGCCCTTAGGAGTGCCATTGCAGGTGCAGCATAGCTCCTTTCGGTGGGGTGTACACAGAGAGGGGGTGCCTGGCCAGGAACAGACTGTGACACCTTCTTCTCCTATGGCACAGTGAATGGCGGCTTCTGAGAAGCACACTGGGACTTCATGCATCATATTTATGCTTGCATATACCAGTGACCCATGCCAGTGGAACATGGATTAAAAAATCCACAGAGAAGTCCAAAGTTAATTTTAGTGATTGCTTCAGGGTCCAACCCTCTTGCATGTCTTAGTTAGGTCGGGTGTGAAGAACTTGAGAGCAACAAATGCTGTTAGATACTGAAATGAGTTAATAAGCACCTGCTCTTTTCTGGAGAAGAATAGACCTACAGGCAGTGTGATTTGATGGAGTTCAGACCATATCCAGGGACAGCTAGCTCCTCTGAGCCCCAGGAGCCTGTGTGTTCTTCACAGTTTCTGCCTTAACTTCTCTACCTCTTTCCCTTCCTTCACTCTCTGCTGCAGAGGATGAAGTCAGCTCACTGCTGAACAGCAGAGAGAATAAGAGTTCCGAGAAGCAGCGACTGCAGCATGTGGCAGCTTAACCTCCGTGCTTGCCCATCTGAGTCTTATCCTGAATCTGCCACTTAGACACTTTGTGACCGAGTAACGGGCTTCCCTTCTGTGTGCCACAGCTTCCTCACAGAGAGAAGGAGATCACAGTAAGAAATGGTATATGAGATGCTGGGCTCTTAACTGAGGTAATCCATCCACAAGCATCTAGATCAGTTCCTGGTAGATGATAATGAACATCACTCATTTGTTATCACAACAGAATGAACACACAGGACTTTCTGTTTGCACAAAAACAAAGGTATCATTTTTGTGTTGATCAAGTCTACTTCACGGTTTTCCAAAAGACAGAGAAAGTGGATGGGTGATTGACAGGCTTGCACTGTGAGTAGGGTCCTTTTACTGTTCCTCAGACTATTATCCAAGATGCATCGTATTTGCCTCTCACATTACAATGAAAGCCAAGATACATGCTAAAATATTTAATTTATGCTTTATTCAGGTACAAAGGGCAATTTGAGCATAATACAGAACGTCTGTCCCAGGCATTTTAATGCAAGAGTGCAAATAGTTCTGGCACCGACAATAATAAAAAAAGTGCTATCAATTAAAAGATCTCTTTCTTTCTTTTCGGTTGGTTCCATAGCCTATCTTCTTAAGATATAAAATAACCAATATCTCAAAAACCACCTTAAGGCCAGGCAGTGGTGGTGCATGCTTTTAATCCCAGCAGAGGCAGGCAGATCTCTGAGTTTGAGGCCAGCCTGGTCTACAGAGTAAGTTCCAGGGCTACACAGCTAAACCCTGTCTCAAAAAACAAAAACAAATAAAAAAAATCACAAACACCACCTTCAACCAAAGGCTGTGTTGTCTAGAGTCTAGAATTTAAGAACTAACAGGCAATCTTTCTTGCAAAGGGATGAATCTGTAGCTGACTAAATGGCCTACAGTATGGCATCTCTGCTCCTAGTTTCCTGAATGTCAGCAGGTGAGCCCTTAGCTTCTTCCAGGCATGGCTTCCTCACCCATAAAACAGGGATGTGTGGGGTGTCGGTGGAGTCATACCTAACTTCTTATCCCTAGGTGATTTGAGAGATGGAAAGGTATTAACAAGAGTTCATAACTCAGTAGTCATTCAGAAAAACAGCACACACACACACCCTGCACCACAAGATTTTGGACATCAGATCATAATACTATCAATTACAATATTCTAGTAAAACTGAGACATTTATTTTTTATAGAACAATGCAACATTCTCATAATACATAGACATCAATAATGCTCATTTCCTCTTCCTCATCATTTCCAGTTCTGCCCCAGGTAGAACCTCTCTTTATCCCAATACAACCATAGATATTAAGGCAAAAAATGTTTGTTTTGCTGATTCAGTGGACACCTCTCCTCCTTATGATTCCTAGTTCCTCCCCATCGAGACAGTTAGGTGTGTGTGTGTGTGTATGTGTGTCCCCTGTTTGCATTTTCACAGAGAGGGGGTTGTGGGAGAGAAGGTGGAACAAAGTTTTCTTTTTGTGGCAAAACGTTTCTTGTAAAAGTGAAGCTATATATACATGTTTATATATAATCTATCCAGTGCAATTACAACTGTCCTGCCAGACACTATGAAGTTCCACCTTGGTTGATGTATTTCTGGAGTTTTAAACAGCTGTCTTACAACAGCTGCATTTCAGTAAGACTTGGGCAGGTGGCTCCAGACCAGCCACTTGCCACTCATATGCAGGCTGAGGCGTCTGTGTTCACAGTTCACAGGAAAGAGTGTGTCTTCAGTCTGCAGTGGGTACTGTGGTGAGGTTATGGGTGAGGCTGGGTCATGACGAGGAAGTCTGGAGTCTTTGTACTTCTCTATCATGTTTTTGTTGTTGTTGCAAATCCACATCAGTGTAAAAAATATTCACACCAAAAGATCTCATTTTCTTCCTTTCATTCCAAGAGTGCTTATAAAACATCAGCCCGCTCAGCAGTCTCACCACAGACATTTCCAGTGCCTTAGCCAAGTCATTAAGTGTAACTTAGAAGAGATTAATCCGAGACAATATTTCTGTAAATGCGGTTTTTGGTTCTCCCACCAGACAGGGACATTTGACGACTGCCTTCCTGAGCTCTCAAGTGAGAGCCAGGCGCGGAGTCCCCACTGCTGGTCTGAAGACAGAAGGGGGGAGGGGAAACTGTGGCTCAGCAGGCTAGCCCAGAAGATGCTCACTGAGAATAGCAAGGACCTGCAAACCAAGACCAGAAGCCATTACAAACCTACCCCGAGTTAGCTCACACAGAGACCTACAGGAAAGGTGGTGGTCTGTCTAAACCCATACAGATCCTCGCCTTGGTCCTGAGTCTGCAAACCTGAAAATAAATAAATAAAAGATGGGGTGGCTGGAGGAGGCAGGATGCTTGAAAGGGGAAAAAAAGAGAAATGTACCATTTTTCTTATGAAAGCTACACACCATCTACAGGTGATTAATGTTGAGTGTGAAAGTTATACACTTCATCTACAGGCGGTGAAACACACAGAGAAATAGAACCTTCATTTGAGGAAAGGAGGGCAGCGCAAAGGGCTAGCCAATAATTGGGCTTGTTTTAAACATTTGTCATTTGCTCTTAAAAAAGGGGGGGGGGGGGGGGTAAAACCCTCAGATCTCTCCAATTCTCATCTGAATGAAAGCGCCCATTTGAAGTTCAACTCTAAGCCAGCCAGCCAGGCTCTTAGCCTTAGCATCAAAACCAGTCTGAATTTTGCTCGTGTAAAAGTCTTACTTAATTTAGCAGTTAAGCTGACAAAGAGACCCCAGGAGTCACAGGTACTCTGGATCAAAGCTCTCGCACCACAGGCATCACCGAAGAAGAAACAATGGAGCCTTTTAATGGTATATTTTATTTAACCCAATAACACCAATAGGCAACTGCTGGACATATTAGAACATGCAAACTCAGTATAAAATGTTAACGAGATGAGGTTTTACATCATTTTTCTTTTGCAGTCTTGGAAATCCAGTGTGTTTTATGTCTGACAGCACATCACGGTCCATCCTAGCCACAGGGCAAAGGCTTAGTAGTCACGTGTGGTTAGTGGCTACAGTTCTGATCAACACAGGCTAGAATTTTTCCATCGAACTTTATTCAAAGAACAAAAAGAGTCCTCTGTACCACCGAGCAGCCAGGTCGAGGGCAGGGTGCTACTTTCTAGAGACATCTACCCGTAGAAACAAATGATGGCATGCAATCTCTCAGCCACATGGTCCTGGGAGGTCTCCCAAGGGAAGTCAGGGTGCCTGGGGCTCAGCCCAGAGTCGGGTACAGTGCTGGAGGGGCTGCGGGAAGACTGCACTCCCTCCTCCGCTTACCTGAGTCCACGCTGAGGCCCAGACTCTGGGCCACGTCCCCCGTGGGACTCACGAAGGGTCCCCCGGGCGCGGCCCACGCGCCGCCTGCCGGCTCTCCCTTGGCGGCGAGCTCGCAGGGCGGGCTGCCGGGAGCGGGCGCTGAGGCAGGAGCCAGGCGGCTGGGGCGGCCCGAGGCTGCGGGCATGAGCAGCGGCCCGTAGCGCGGATCGAAGTGGGGTGCGTAGACCTCATGCACGGCTGGCCGCGGGTAGGCTGAGGCTTGCGCTCCCAGGGCGCCGCCCAGCGCGTAGGGATGGTGCGGGTGCGGGTGTGCGTGGTGCGGGTGTGCGTGGTGCCAGTCGGCCGCGCCCTGGTGCAGGTGGCCGTGCAGCGCGGCTGGAGAGTAGGGGTCTGCGGCGAAGGGCAGCTCCGAGTGCGCGGCGGCCAGAGGACTTCCCAGGGGCGCGGGCACCGGCGCCTGGTACGCGCTGTTCCAGAAGGAGGCGGGGAAGCTGCGCTGGCTCATCGGGAAGGTGCCTTCTGCTGGCCCGGGGTGGGAGGAAAGCGAGAAAGGAGTGTGTCACCGAGGCCATGCCAGGCAACCCGACCGGGGCCCGAGGGATCTAGGGCTGGAAGGCCGCAGAGGAGCGGCACCGGCAGCCTTCACCTCTGGGCGTCTTCTAAGAGACTTGCAGGGCACTGAGAAGTGTGTGGAGGGGTCCCCGAAAGTCCCCCAGAGGACATCTGAATCACCCAGCTGTCTAGAAAACCTAGCAACAGAATTTCTGATGGTGGAGGAAGTTGGAGATGTTAGGAGAGCTTGCCCTCTTCCTTCTGGTCCAGGGCAGACTCGACCTCTCTTTTCCAGGCTGCAGAGGAAGACCCTTGTCCCTCTGTCTGTTGTCTAGCTACCTCTACCATCTTTCTCATCTCAATCCTCCCTGCTCCAGAAAGTGTTCCGCTTCAAGGTAAGTGCCTGTTAGACTGGAAGAACATGTACAGACTTCCAAGGTTTGTTATTAGTGGTGATTTACTAGACTTCTCCTTTCAAATATTCCTCCTCTTGCGAGAATTTAAGGAAATGAGAGGTAGGTATATTAAAAGAGCGGCCGTGTTATTTGCATAGACAGCTTTTTAAAAATGCCAAGTTTTCATAAACAAACTTCCGGATCAAAGATGCCAGGAGTAATGAATAATAATAATAATAATAGTAATAATGATGATAATCCTGCCATCAGTATCACTGTCGATTCCCTAGAGTATGGTAGTGTAAGAGAAGGGCGCTTAGGTCAAGTTTGTTGCCTTGGGTAGAGGAGGAAAGACATTTGATTCAAAGCCCTTTTATGGCACATCTCTTCTGGAGAAGGCATGGGTACCACACGCTAGAAAATCTAAAACAACTTGGAAGTCACCTTCTGAATGATGAACAAATGTCCCGTTGAAAACGAATTTAGGCAGAGGGAGAAAAACAAAAGACTAAGTTTTGCGTCTAAAACGAATGCTTTGAAATCTTGAAGGTTTGTGCAAAATACCACATATTGCTATGGAAACAGGTAATAACGGTTGCGATTACTGCACAAATGAAAATTCATTTTCTTTTTTTAACAACATAGTCTTCACTTCTCAACTTAGTTACACATCAAAGACTAAACTGCCTGAAAGTGTTTATGGATGACTTTCTTAACCTTCTTGTCGGTAATAGAGGGGAATTGCAGCTAAGGATGATTCAGGTGACTGGTTCTCAGTAGGGAGTGTAGAAAAACATTTCTCCGTTAAAAGTATTTTGTTTCTTTGCTTTGTCACTGGCTTGAATTGTCAAGAATTTCTGCTTTAAGATTTCTCGACTATTGGAAGCCAGACAAGTGTTAGGAAGTAATCTCAAGCAGACTTTGCTTTCAGGGAGGTCGAAGAAGGAGCCTTGTAGATTGTTGGTGAAGGTTCTGCTAGGTTGGTTGTGGAAACCTCAGGTTTCCATAGGACATCAACAGACATTTCAAGTTTTTACTCTTTTAGTCTTCTCTGGGGATGGTTAGGAGGGCAAGTGTTATTCTAATTTTAGAGACTAGTAAATACTGACCTCCAAGAGGTTAAAAGACTTGCCCAAGGTCATATTGCTAGGACTTGGTAGAGCCAATGCACACACCTAAGACCTCCAATTCCCTTCACTGCCTTCAGGCCACCGCTTTCCTCTGCAGAGAAGAGCTCACATCCATGCCCCTTCCCTCCTAATTGTTCATGTCCCCCAAAGCCTTTCACCCCCTTCTTAAGCTTGCTGCTCTTTTGGCTGTACTTTGGTACCCTGCAGGTAGGCTGTAGGCTGATAAACCTCCTAGCCTTCTCGATGGGTCCTACTCACCTCTCCAGGGCCCGGAGCTCCGGTGAGCTTTGCTGCTGGTACAGCTGGGGGTATAGCTGCTAGGCTGGCTCAGGGCCCTACTGAAATGTTCATCCACCACAGAGCTGATGTCGCCCTGGAAGTAGGTGAAGAGTACACATCTGGAATTGATGTACTCAGCTTCGGGTGGGCGCTCTTTCTCCGGGCTGTCATCCTCTTCTTTTACACTGGCTGGGGTTTGGTTGGAAAACGAGGAGCTCCCACTGGCGCTGCTGCTGGGGCTGGCACTGCATTCTTGGGCTTCCTGCATTTTTGAGTAGTAGGCTAGTTTCTGTCCAGAGAGAGAAAGAGATGGTCAATGTAGTCCCATCGCTAAGGTATCAATTGGGTAACAGGCATCTCTGCCTAAGCCTTGCGCCTGTTGCAAAAACCCAGCAATAGATGACAACACAGAGTTGCCTCTCTGTCTGCAATATTTGGTAAGGAAAAACTGCCCTGATGGATGCCCTCTCTTCCTAGAATTGCAGCTAGCCTGCAGGAAAATACTCTTAAAATGTTGGGGTGGAAATCTCAGAAGACAATAAATCAACTGATTAATCAAAGAGAACAAAACAAAACAAACAAAATAAGAAAAACCAAACCAGGGTGTGAGGACTGTAAACTGAGTTCCTTTTTCAGAGCTGCGCTCAGGGCAAATAGATTTTTAAAATCAGACGGTAAGGATACCGGGCACCCAAGTTAATTAAGTTGGCGGCTCTTCTCTACATGAGAACACAGGGCAGAAGCACAAACCACGAGATTAGGTATTCACATGGAGAAATAGAAAAACAACAATGAAAAAAGGATTCCACATGACACAATCAGGAATGAACTGCCACAGAAAACACGAAAGAGTTCCAGAATCATGACTTAGGGAAATTGTGGATCTTTTTTTTTTAAATAAATGGATCCTTTTTTTAAAAAAAATAAATGAAGTTGATTTTTGTATGCGTACCCACAAAAATATCCAAAGTCGGTGTCAGTTGTTTGCATTCATTTGACTGGCTTTGATGCAAGTTTCATACAGCCTAGGCTGACCTGAAACTTGCCACATAGCTGAGAGTGGCCTTGAACTAAGATCTTCCTGTCTCAGCCTCCCAAGTGCTGGGGCAGCAGGCATATTCTCTGTATTTGTAGTTTTAAAACATCATTTAAGTAAGGAAAAGTCAGCAGGCGAACAGCACACTAGCATCCCCAAACAGAAAAGTCGGCAGCTGATTAGCATCCCCAAACAGAAGTTATAAAAAGGAGCACGAAGAAGGTTGGGTCCTGAGTTAATCACTGTATCAGAGCAACTTTAAGACCAGAGGCAACTACTAAGAACATTGTCTTAGAAATGAACCATCGACTGGATGCAGAATTAAATCATTCTCAAGGCAGAGGTGGCCTGGAAGGGAAGGGCAGGGTCATACAAAGTAGATTTGACGTAGTAGACCGGCCTGGGGCCCAGGAGGAGAAAGGGCCAGCTAGATCTAAGTATCCCTTTTGCAGTAGATCGTCCCACACTGGGAACGGGCTCCTGATCTCCGGAGCCCAAAGATTCCAGTTTTTAACACCACCACCACACCCTGAATGCCACATTTCCACTTCATTTACAATGAGAAGCCGTGGTGATTCCTAAACCTAACACAAATCAGGACTACAAATTCTAGGTTGCAAAGTTTTTGCGGGAGTATGTGATTTTGTGTGTGTGTGTGTGTGTGTGTGTGTGTTCGGGCTAACGCAAAATCTACTCATTTTCATTGTCTTAACACATTGTTGGGGTTTGCAAAACAAAACTGAAGTATTGACTCAAACACTGCAGTTGGTTTCACTGTTCCCCAAAGAGAAGACCAGGTCTCATTTTCCAGGCTGGTCTAGAATTCTACCACCCCAGGTGTGTGCTTTTGCTCTGTCCCTGGAATACTGTTCTGTTACCTTCGCTGTGGACACGGAAGTCAACAGTAGGTGGCTACACACACAGACCGCGGAAAAGAGAAATCAGAAATCGGCAGAATCGAAGGAAACTTGAACAGTTTGCAGGAGCGGGGTTAAATAACCTAAAAAGTGACTTTAGGTTGTCGGATTCTGCCACTTGGGTGCCAGAAAGGCGAGCTCCCTGGGCGGGTCAATCACACTGGAATAATGCTTCCTAGAACTCGGCAAAGCACAAATCACAAGACCGGTGCCTTCTGCGCATTTCTCCTGAAGAACAAATCCACCAGTTCCGGAGTTAGTTGACTCAGTCGCCTGAGAACTGAAATGGAGGAGATTATTCCCGGGATGACCTCGGGGCTCTCCATCTTAGAATGACAGAGGCAGGCTTTTGATGTTCTCGTTTTGGTTTTATTCTTATGGTCAAGACCAAAGTTCGGATTTCCCTGTGTGAGCTTTGCGGGAAGCCCTGTCCACTCGTACCAGACTCTAAGAAGAAAATTCAGTGCGACCATCTCGTCTAACTGTTCTGGGGAAGGCCTGGGTGCACATTATCACTACTTACGTGTCCTCTCAAATGGACCAGCTAAAGAGAATTAGCTGCGGTCCCGGCATCCCGGCGTCTTGGGCTGCCTGCCTGTCTATCGCTCCTGGCGCGAGGAGGCTCAGGCGACCTTTGGCATAGCGGTTTTTTCGCAGTCTGGGGTGCTCCACGGGTCCCCGCCCCACCCGATCAGACTCATACCTGGTGGTAGGGAGTGTAGGCAGCTGCGAAATAAGGCTGCGGGGGACCGTAGACCTGGTACATAACATCCAGACAGCTCATGGCTCCCCGCCGCGGAGGCAGCTGAGTGGTTTCTCATCAACGCTGTTTTGGGGGAGCTCAAGGATGCTGCAGCGGCCACAGTGGTGCCGGAGCCCCAGAGTCATGGGTCGCGGGGCAGTGCTGGGCTGGGGATGCGGCGAGCTCGCTCCCCTCCCACTTCGCGGTTCCAGCCGGGCCGCGCTCCCGGGCAGAAGCGCCCGGGCTCCCGCTTGTGCGCATTTAAACCCCGCAGCCCCTGGCGCGCTGACGCTGCGAGGGGGCGGGGACCAAAGACAGCGACGGGGTAGGAGAGTTTTCCCGGGACTCCCTCGCGGGAATCTTATGGCCTCGGTGTCAGAGACTGTGGATCCTGAAAATGGGGCCCCAAGCTCCCCTCCCAGAGCAGCGACTTCCCTCTTCCCTTGTTTCCACGAGGGACAAAGACTGCAGAAACACGGAGACAGACCAGGAACAGTGACAAAGCTAGGGTGCGGGTCCGGGCCGAGAGCGGGGAAGTGGCGGGCAGGTCTCCTGGCAGAATCTCTGCCAGCAGTTCCCAGAAGACGTTTGGGGGAGGGACAGAGCTATTTTCTGGAACTTTCGCAGGATCTAGGTTGTTACAGACGGGCGAAGAAAGGAGTCGCGGGACTCCGCGGGGAAGTGATCGGCAGTGGCTAAGACTTGCAACCTCTCCCCAGTCCCATCTTCCGTGCGCTTTCGCCAACCGTCACTTCGGTCCCCAGCACCCCCCCCCCCCCCCGCCCCTGTCCCGCCTTCAAATTTAATTCTTTTTTTCTTGGGTCGTTCCTTTTAAAGCCTTCTAAAGTTCGATCCCATCCTATTCTCGTTGTTGCTCTCAATGAACTAACTCGATCCTCGCCTAGGGCATCGGTTCTGTGTTAACTAATTTCCAAGATTCCCAAAGCTCCTACCCAGCCCTCTTATCCCTGGTCTCGACCTGGTCCTTTAAAGTTCCTTAACGTTTACAGCAAGGACTCCTTGGTTCTAAGTCGCACGTAGGCACTGCGGTACAGAGGTTGTCTCCTTGGTTGGTTTTAAAAACCGCGAAGGTCTGTTTCGTTTAAGAAAGTCAGACCTTGTGAAACATGCCCCGTAGTGGTTCCCTTTCTTGACCAGCCATGCCAAGGGGTGTGAGCTCTTATTGCAGGTTGTGGGGGGGGGGGCAGGTTTCCAAGTGTCTGCTTCAATCTCCAACAGAAACCCTTGGGGGAGGGGGATGTAGTGTAGAGTGAATTGACACAAGGTTACCTCATGGAAAGGTCAAGCGGCAAACGTTCTTTAGATGAGGGCCCAGGTCCCTGGTGTGACTTTTGAGAACCCAGAACCGAGGAATGGACATCATGGATAGATGAAAGTGAACAGAAACTTGTCCGCCAGTTTAAATACCAGAGTCGAAATTCTCATTCAGTTGCGAACAGTTAACTTTTGAACACACCTCTTTTCGAGAAGTGGAGCATTTGAAATGAAATTGCTTCTGTATTGGATTTTCGGCTTGTGGTTTTCGAAAAGGGGATCTAATTCAGCTTATAAATGGGAAGTTATCCTGGGGGAATCCTCAACTGACTACAAGGTAATGTATCAGAATGCCAAAACTGTGCTGGACCGTACAAACTATAACCTAACACTTCACAGGATGAGGAAGGAGGGTCACCAGGTTTCCAACAGTCTAGTCTACACAAGTCACCATCTCAGAAAACCAAAATAAATATGAATCCATACAAATAACCTCCCAGTACAGTTTGTAGGGGCTAGGCCAAGGTGGCTTAACTGGGGTGGGGTGAGGAGGGTGGGGTGGGGTGAGTGAGGGGGTGGACGAGGGTGGACACTGGAGTTTTTCACTGTTCACTGGTGAAAGAACACCCCACGCGCGCACACGCTCGCTATGCATGTATTCTATTCCTGTAGAGGTCAGAAAAGGACACAAGACCCCCTAAACTGTATGGGTGCTGGGAACTGAACCTGAGTCCTCTGGAAAAGCACTGAAAAAAGCTTTCTAGACACCCAGGGTTTTCTTTTAAAGCACTAGTTCATTAAGGTATGGGGAATCATGCTTGAAATCCCACTTCTCTGATAGGCTGATGCAGAAGAATTTCCATGGATTCAAGCAAGGCTAGCCTGTGCTACAGAAGGAGACCCTATGCCAAAGACAGACTAAGCAAAGAAAATGCTCCCCACTTATAGCCTGCAATTCTAACTGGATCTAAAATTGTAAAAGAAGCTACCAGCCCTCCCAAAGTTAGTAAACTAACTTCTGACCACAGAGGTCAGAAGAGAAAATCAGATGTCCTGAAATTAGAGTTATCAATGGTTGCCAGCCCTGGTGTGTGTACTTTGAGTCAAATGCAGACCTTCTGCAAAGGCAATATGTCCTCTGAACTGCTGAGCTAACTCTCCAGCCCCAAGATGCATTTTTTTCTCTTAAGAGGACATATGAATAATACTAGACGAGCAAACTGTGTCAAGCTAGGCCCTCAGTTGCCTGTGGTTTGTTGGGATCACAAGAGCTGGCACCATTTGCTGCCTTATTTTGCCAACCAGACGGTTGAACACAATGGTAATCTCAGAGATTTCCCTCCCTAAAGCCATCTTACCACTTTAACTGAAGAGAGATGTGTTTGGACTTAGGAGAGCAGCTGACTAGATTTGGTGGATTCAAGCTGTTAATAATATTAAGTGGGTACATTTCTGCAATGCTGGGTTTTCAGGTGTGGTGTGCTACCTACAAATGACAGCCCACTAGTGGGACGTCTGGGTGGTGATTTTATTTAGAGAAATAAAATGAGGGAAAAAGACACTTATAAAATATGAAGCCTTATTAAAAATCTATAGTGAAAAAACAAGAAAAATTGTTTTCACTAAAATTTGGAATGCATCCTAACAATGTTCAGAAAAAGTTCCTAATGGTTCAGACCAAATAAATGATTGAGACTACTTGATAAATAAGTGGAAATTTGGGAATGAACACACACACACACACACACACATGCACACACACAATTATTATAAGAGTGTTAAATTTGCATGCCTCATGTTTTTGATATTATTTTTATATAATTTACAAATCAATTTTATCTGATGGAAGAGTTACAATTTTCTGAAATTCATTTTCCCTTGAGTTTGTATACTCATTAAGAATGGTTAAAAGTATATTTATCTTTTATGAATGAATTTTTATTGACTCTTCATGAGATATTTCATAAAAGGTATGATTATATAAATTTAGCATATATGACTCAAACCTTCAAAAATGATGAGTTCCAGGTACTAAAATGTACAATTGAGGTAGATATATTAAATATTTTGGATGGTCATATTTTCGTGAAAGGAAAAACTGAAATAAATTTACATTCTGTAATATTTATTTGGATGCAAAGAGTTAAGTCAGAGAGCATGTGCCAATCATTTGCTGATAGGTAGAAGTTGTTACTATATTCATTTTTGCTTACAGTCTAACCACCTTTGATTTCTGACTATTCATTTCACTCCTCATCTAAAGGTGTAGGGTCCAGAGCATGATTTGAAGGTTGGGAAGTGGAATCTGGCTGAAGGATTCAGACTGGTGGCTTGGATGCTTGACAGTATTGGTGTTGATCCATTTCCAAACTTGTGTTTACAAACTTCACTTCAGCAGGATGCTGAAAGGATTAAAAGGAAACCACAGGACCAACAGACAGAAAGTGAGGATATCCTGGAGTATGATGTCCTGCTGCATGTTCCAAGAGGTCTCCAGACAGCTTCTTAGGAGCTCCTAGGAACTTTCTCTTGATGTGCATGGAAGAATTTTCAAGCAATGAATACCATACTTGTATTGTCTGTTTTTAGTTACTTGTTATTATGACTGGTTTTAAAATAAATTTAATGGTGGCATAAATAAAGCAAGTTTGTCTGTGTCTTAAATATATAAATGTTAATTTGCTTTTTTCAGGATCCTTGGGGTACAGTCTTGGCCCAGCAAAGCAGATTACACTTACATTTTTGTTCTTAATGCATTACCAATGCTCAGTATCCTATCGTAAAAGGAAAGTTAGTTGTTGACTGTGAAATCCAGACTTCACCCACTGGCTCTGTATTTTCATTTTTTTCAAGAGCAGCATGAGCCAACCAAGTATAGAGTAAATAATTCCACCATAACTTTATCTGAATTTAACCAAATTAAA